GGTGTGCCGGCTCGGCCAGTGGGCGGACACGCCGGCGTCGTGTTGGGACGGGCCCGCGGCGGCGCGCGCTTCGGCGCGGGGCGGGGGTGGGGGGTAAACAAGATGGCGGTGAAGTGTTGGGTGCCGGAGGGGGGAGGCGGACCCCGGACTCCCGCGGTGAGGCGGCGGGGTACGGACGGCGGCGGCAGGGCCGGGCGGCACCGCGTCCGCCTCGCATGGGCTGGGTCTCCGCCTCGCCCCTCCTGCTCCCACCGCGCGGCGGCAGCGGCCGGGGACGTGCCGCCCGGGCCCCGCTGCCTTGGGAACCCCTTGCCCGGTGCCTGTGGCCTGTTCCGCCTCAGCCTCCCGCAGTCCTACGGGCTCCCCAGCGCTTCGAGGGCTGCAGCAGACGGCGTTCGAGGCGCAGAGCGAGCGCGGGCTGCCGTTTGGAGCGGGGGCGCCCGCGGGGCCCTTTCGGGGTCCCAGGCCGATTTGGGGTGCCCCGGCGGCCGGCTCCGGCGGAAGTTGCTCTCTTTGGCAGGGGGCCCCGGGCGGCCTCCCAACACGCGCCCGGAGCTCGCCGCGGCGGACCGAGCCGGATAGGCACCTGCCGCTTCTCGGGGAGTCTGGGACAGTGGGGCCACCGGAGACGCCTCGGCCCCCAGCGAAGCTTATCTGCCCAGCTTTGCGGGCTCCGGGGCCTGCCGGGGCTCGGGCGCGCGCTGCTGCTGGCTGGTATGGACGACCCGGAGAAGACTTGGTTTGGCCGCGTCCGTTTTTTTGCCTGGGTCTGAAGTCCCTAGAGGATGACCTCCTTCGCAACCCCACCGGCCTTCCCAGGGTCCCTGTGGACACGCCGGCCCGACCTGGAGCTGCCAGGTCGGGTCGCACTTGCGACGCTGCTCCCCGTCGGATGCCCGGGCCTCGGACCAGGCACGCCTCTTGAACTCACGTTTAGTACAATCGTTTCTTTTCGAAGAAGGGTTTTTCTCTCTTTCTTTTTTTCCTTTTGCGTTTTTGTTGACTTTACTTTTTCTTTCTTTTCTTTTTCTTTTCTTTTTTTTTTTTTTTTTTGAGAAGGGAATCTGGGGTAGGGGGGACAAAAAGAAGAACCGCTCACCGGGGCATCCATAAAGGGCATTAAGGGACCGCCGGCGGCGCGAATCGGAGGTCTTGGGTCCAGAATGGATGTGGCAGACCCGCAGCAGCTGGGCATGTTTACAGAGGGCGAGCTGATGTCGGTGGGGATGGACACATTCATCCACCGCATCGACTCCACCGAGGTCATCTACCAGCCCCGCCGCAAGCGGCGAAGCTCTTGGCAAGTACCTCGTGGGGGGGCCTGCTGGGGGGGGTCTACGGCAAAGTGAGGGGTGCTGGACTCCGGAGACGTTGTGCAGGAGAGCCGTCAAAATCCTCAAGAAAAAGAAGTTGAGAAGGATCCCCAATGGGGAAGCCAACGTAAAGAAGTAAGTGTGGGCTTCTTGGTCTACCCAGCTTTGGGGGTCCCGGGGTGCTCCAGGGTCGTCCTCCCTCCCTCCTTCCCTTCCTCCCTCCTTCCCTTCTTCCCTCCTTCATTTCCTTTTTCCCCTCCCTTTCTTCCTTCCTTCCTTCCTTCCTTCCCTTCCTCCCCTTCCTTCCTCCTTCCTTCCTTCCCTTCCTTCCTTCCTTCCTTCCTTCCTTCTCCTTCCTTCTTCTTCCTTTTCCTTCCTTCCTTCCTTCCTTCCTTCTTCTTCTTTCTTCTTCCTTCGTTCCTTCGTTTCCTTCCTTCCTTCCTTCTTCCTTCATTCATTCTTCTTCTCATTCATTCATTCATTTTCTCCTTCGTTTTTCATTCCTTCTTCTTCTTCCTTCATTCTTCCTTCTTCATTCTTCATTCATTCTTCATTCTTTTTTATTCCTTCTTTCTTCTTCTTCGTTCCATTCCTTCCTTCCATTCCTTCATTCTCTTCCTTCTCTTTTCTTCTTCCTTCATTCCCTTCTTCCTTTCTTCATTCATTCCTTCTCTTCTTTTTCTTCTTCTTCTTCTTCCGTTCCATTTTTTTCCATTTCTTTCTTCCTTCTTCTTCTTTTTTCCTTCATTTTCCTTCTTTTCTTCGTTCATTCCCTTTCTTATTATTCCTTCTTCCATTCCTTCCTCCTTCCTTCCATTCTTCTTTCTTCCTTCTTCCATTCTTCTTCTCCTTCATTCATTCCTTCTTATTATTCTTCCTTCTTTCTTCATTTTTCTTCCTTCTTTTCCTTCCTTCTTCTTTTCTTCCTTCATTCCATTCCTCCATTCTTCCATTTTTCTTCCATTCTTCCATTCTTTTCTTCTCGTTCCATTCCATTCTTCTTTCCTTCCTTCATCATTCATTCTTCATTCCTTCTCTTCCTCATTCCTTCTCATCATTCTTCGTTCTATCTTCTTCTCTTTTTTTTTTCTTCCATTCTTCCTTCTTTCCTTCCATTCATTCCTCTTCTCCATTCTTCTTCTTCCTTCTTCTTCCTCTTTTCTTCCTTCGATTCATTCCTTCATTCCATTCATTCTTCTTCTTCATTCTCTTCCTTCGTTCTCATTCCATTCATTCCTTTTTCGTTCTTTCTCTTCTTCTTTTCATTTTCTTCGTTCCGTATTCCTTCTTCTTTTCCTTCTTCTTCTTTTTCCGTTCATTCTTCATCCTTCTTATTCCATTTCTTTTTTCCTTTTCTTCTTCGTTCTTCGTTCTTTCCATTCATTCATTCTCTTCATTCTTCGTTCCTTCTTCGTTCTTCCGTTCCTTCTTCATTCGTTCTTCCTTCGTTCTTCATTCATTCTTCTTCATTCCCGTTCCATTCATTCCTTCCATTCTTCTATTTCATTCGTTCTTCATTCCATTCGTTCTTTCTTCTTCGTTTTTGTTCTTCGTTCTTCTTTCTCATTCTTCGCTTCTTCTTTGTTCTTCTTCATTCATTCATTCGTTCATTCATTATTCCTTATTTTTCCATTCGTTCTTTCTTCTTCTTCCGTCGTTCCATTCTTTCCGTTCATTCTTCCATTCTTTCGTTCATTCCTTCATTCTTCTTCTTTTCTTCTTCTTTTCCATTTTCTTCTTCTCGTTCTCTTCTTCTTCTTCTTCATTCGTTCTCTTCCTTCTTCATCTTCTTCCTTCTTTTCTTTCATTCCATTCTTTTTTCCATTCATTCATTCTTCATTCATTCGTTCATTCATTCTTCATTCCGTTCGATTCATTCTTCCGTTCATTCATTCATTCTTTCATTCTTCATTTCATTCTTCGTTCCATTCTTCTTTTCTTCTTCTTCTTCCGTTCATTTTCGTTCATTCCATTCTTCTTCATTCATTCATTCCTTCTTCTTCCTTCATTCATTCCATTCCTTCTCATTCCTTCTTCATTCTTCTTCATTCATTCTTTTCTTTCTTCGTTCTTCCTTTCTTCTTCTTCTTTATTCACATTCATTCTTCGTTTTCTTCATTCATTTTCTTCCATTCTTCATTCATTCCATTTTCTTCCATTCTTCCTTCTTCATTCTTATTCTTCATTCTCATTCATTCATTCTTCATTCATTCATTCTTCTTCTTCATTCATTCTTCATTCCATTCATTCATTCATTCCATTCATTCTTCATTCTTTTCATTCTTCCTTATTCGTTCCATTCTTCTTCCATTCCTTCTTCTTCTCCGTTCCATTCTTCATTCGTCTTCCTTCTCCCTTTTCCATTCCCTTCGTTCATTTCCTCGTTCTTCTTCCTTCCTTCATTCTTCGTTCATTCTTCTTCTTTTTCTTCTTTTCTCTTCCTTCTTCATTCATTCTTCTTCTTCCTTCTTCATTCCATTCTTCATTCCATTCTTCATTCGTTCATTCCTTCTTCTTTCTTCTTCTCCATTCTTCTTCCATTCATTCCTTCATTCCATTCATTCTTTCCATTCTTTCATTCTTTCTTCTTCGTTCTTCATTCTTCTTCGTTCGTTCCATTCTCGTTCCTTCTTCATTTCCATTTCTTCGTTCATTCCTTCGTTCTTCATTCCGTTCGTTCTTCATTTTCATTCGTTCTTCTTCATTCATTCCATTCTTCATTCCATTCCTTCATTCTTCCTTCATTCTTCTTCTTCTTCATTCATTCATTCATTCTTCTTCATTCCTTCTTCTTCTTCTTCATTCATTCTTCATTCTTCCTTCATTCTTCTTCCATTCCATTCTTCATTCTTCTTCTCCTTCGTTCATTCATTCCATTTTCCTTCTTTTCCTCATTCCTTCATTCATTCTTCCATTCTTCTCGTCTTCCATTCCATTCTCTCTTCCTTCTTCCATTCCTTCCATTCTTCTTTTCTCTTCCTTCTCGTTCCTTCTTCTTCCTTCTTCCTTTCCTTCATTCTCTCTTTTCTTCTTCTTCTCTTCTTCTTTTTTTCTTCATCTTCATTATTCCATTCATTCTTCTTCATTCCTTCATTCTTCTTCTTCATTCATTCCATTCATTCTTCTTCATTTTCTCGTTCTTCTTCGTTCATTCTCTCTTCTTCTTCATTCCATTCTCGTTCTTTTTTCATTCCATTCGTTCCATCATTCCATTCTTCATTCTCCATTCTTCTTTTCGTTCATCTCCATTCGTTCATTCGTTCTTCCTTCCATTCATTCTTCTTCATTCATTCATTCCATTCATTCCATTCTCATTGTTCATTCATTCTTCCATTCTTCATTCTTCATTCGTTCCTTCTTCTTCTATTCCATTCCATTCATTCTCATTCTTCATTCCACCTTCCTTCTCTTCTTCCATTCTTCATTCGTTCTTCATTCCATTTTCTTCATTCTTCTTCTTCATTCATTCATTCCATTCTTCATTCTTCATTCTTCCTTCATTCCATTCCTTCTCTTCCATCATTCGTTCGTTCATTCATTCCTTCTCGTTCATTCCTTCATTCTTCATTCCATCGTTCCTTCGTCGTTCTTCGTTCCCTTCCTTCGTTCGTTCCATTCCATTCTTCGTTCTCTTCTTCCATTCCTTCTTCATTCTTCTTCTTCTTCATTCCATTCATTCTTCATTCTTCATTCGTTCATTCATTCCATTCTTCCATTCTTCGTTCTTCCATTCTTCGTTCTTCGTTCTTCATTCTTCATTCTTCCATCCATCATTCTTTCTTCTTCCATTCATTCCTTATTCATTCTTCATTCCATTCTTCATTCATTCTTCTTCTTCTTCTTCGTTCCATTCTTCATTCATTCTTCTTCGTTCCATTCATTTTCCATTCTTCTTCTTCTTCTTCATTCTTCATTCATTCTTCTTCGTTCGTTCCATTCCATTCTTCCTTCTTCTTCTTCTTCATTCCATTCTTCTCTTCTTCCATTCCATTCATTCTTCATTCATTCTTCATTCATTCCATTCTTTTCTTTCTTTTCTTCTTCGTTCCTTCCATTCATTCCTTCTTCTTCATTCATTCTTCCTTCCGTTCCTTCGTTCGTTCGTTCGTTCCTTCTTCATTCCTTCTTCTTTTCCATTCTTCCATTCATTCATTCCATTCTTCATTCTTCTTCATTCCGTTCATTCATTCATTCATTCTTCATCTTCCATTCATTCATTCTTCATTCCTCTTCTTCTTCATTCCTTCTTTTCATTCATTCATTCCTTCTTCCTTCTCATTCCATTCATTCTTCATTATTCATTCCATTCATTCATTCCTTCATTCTTCTTCTTTTTCTTCATCTTTTCCTTCTTCCATTCTCTTCCTTCTTTTCTCTTCTTCATTCTTCGTTCATCATTCCGTTCTTCTTCCATTCATTCTTCATTCTTCATTCATTCCATTCGTTCTTTTCGTTCATTCCTTCCTTCGTTCTTCATTCCTTCGTTCTTCCTTCGTTCGTTCTTCGTTCATTCCATTCCATTCGTTATTCATTCTTTCCATTCATTCCATTCCATTCATTCATTCATTCATTCCATTCTTCATTCTTCTTCATTCCATTCCATTCCATTCTTCTTCATTCCTTCTTTCTTCCATTCGTTCTTCCATTCATTCCTTCTTTTCTTCTCGTCATATTCTTCTTCTCGTCATCTTCGTTCTTCGTTCTTCCTTCGTTCTTCTTCGTTCGTTCCTTCCTTCTTTCATTCATTCTTCATTCATTCTTCTTCGTTCCATTCCATTCCTTCATTCCGTTCCATTCTTCTTCTTCTTCCATTCCATTCCATTCTTCTCATTCGTTCCTTCCTTCTTTCATTCCTTCCTTCCATTCATTCTTCCTCGTTCCATTCTTCCATTCATTCTTCATTCGTTCGTTCATTCTCTTCGTTCATTCCATTCTTCCGTTCGTTCTTCTTCGTTCCATTCCATTCTTCATTCCTTCTTCTTCTTTTCCTTCTTCATTCTTCATTCCATTCCATTCCTTCTTCTTGTTCCATTCTTTGTTCATTCTTCTTCGAATTCCGTTCATTCCATTCATTCCTTCATTCCTTCATTCATTCCATTCCATTCCATTCTTCATTCTCCATTCATTCTTCCTTT